TCATGAACTCATTATCTTGTACAGTCTCCCCTTTTTTCTCTTAACGCCGAAACTCTTTTGGGTACAAGCCCCATGAAGCACTACGTACATACTTTTGACAAAGTGGACGCTTGGCGGGACCACTTCCCCGGGCTTTCTATCCTATAGAAAGCTGTCCTGTTATCTGCTCTGCAGATCAATCGATAAGATACGTGATCCTGCACCCTGTAACAGCAGCTTTGGCTGCAATTTCCAAGTCACATGATGCAGAGTGGATGGTTCTTAAAGTCCAAATTCTTTGATAAGTGGTCCCGCCAAGGTTCCACTCTGTCAAAAGTCTACGGTATTCAGCCGACACATTTGTGCCCGTGGTGAGACCTCGGGAGTTCACTATTGATGAAGATAACTGGTCGACTTGGTCAAGAGGCGTAAATAACTGCCCCAGTCGAATACATAGATAAGGTAACAGGAAATGTCACGGCCTCGGTCGCAATCTCAAGAGAGCGGTGGCGGTGTCTCAGTTACAACATGTTGACTTCAATGGTTGAGAGCGCTTGGCAGTGACCTGATTTGTTTACGGATGACTTTTCAATGTCGCGTCGGACGATAGGCCGCTGTTAAAAGGTTTATTCAATCTCGCGATGGCGGCTATAACGCAAGTATCCGACTACGAAGCTCCGACGACAAAACCATGCCTGAGGGCAACTGCGAGGTCTATTGCTAAATCATCTAAGACAGGTCGAATGATCTCGTTCATGTAGTGGGCGCGGATATGATAGTACCTTGCGTCTGACGATTTAATTTTGGAAAAATCTCCGAGTCCGTGTCGGCGGGATGACAGGCTGCCAAATGTCTGGCCTTACGTCGGAGACATATAGGTGTACCGTGACGGCCCTGTTACTCGCAAGGAATGCTCCTGTTCGTTTCATCTCTGTGTACAGATATGACTCACGGCTCATCTAGTCGAAGACTTCGTACGCGGTATGTTGTTCGATTGCTGACTTACTCGCGAACAGGATTCGGAATTATCAGTATGTGTAGTAACCCAGACTCCGCTGATAGGCTAATGATGAGGGAGCCCGAGGTTATTAAGATAAAGAGATAATTAAGAGCCTCTGCGACGACGCGCGAGACATGTTATCCGCATACTACTCGCTGTCTTCCATGTGTTTTCGTAACCCCATTGCGAGTTGGTGTCCAACGTTCACACCTTGTCCTTGTCTCAGCTGTCTCAGCGGGGTCCTATTCATTTCCGGAGCCAAGCCACTGAGTGACAATTGGTACGTCACCCTGTCCTCTGGCATCAATCAAACTCGTCGCATTTCGCGAAAGAAATCCCAATAGCTATTTCTAGCCAAAGAAAATTTTTATTGCAGACTCCTCAAGGAGACTCAGCCGCTTTGCGAGCTACCTTGAAGGATCGTCTGACAGTTATTTCAGTAATTATTACAGGGGCAATGAAAAGGGGAACAGCCATCCCTTCGGGGTACAATATGGTGAGACTAATAACATTAAAAGAGGCGATCCTGGTGCCTTATTGGTCATAATCCTTGTTTTAGAGTGCCGAACTTGCCTACTTGGGCACGTCAGGTACCAAACGGCAGCCCAATACAGCAGGTTCGGATTGAGTGTTGGAGGCTGTCAGCCTTTGCCATTGCCATAAAACCGTCAAGAGTTACTGTTAAATGATCAGATACTCGTTCACTGGCGTACCGACTTACAATCTTCCTCACATCATGCCGCACTCATCGTCAGGTATGGCTCGACCGTCTGTAGCCGATTTGGAGCAAGCTGCCGTATCTGTGATTCACCTGATGAAAGGTGCACCTGGGCTAGCCAACATCCGACTTGCCCTCATCGGCGACTTAGCTGTCAGGAAGTATCTAGAGCAGCCGGTACCCTGCGAAGTACGTCAGAAACTGAAGACCTTCCTTTGATGCGTCAAATGACTGCTGACCAATCCAATAGAGCATCGAGTTCGTCATTACCAAGTCAGCATCGCCAAGTCTAGTGAAGAAGACTCTACTTTCCCATGGCAAGGAAGCTTTCGCCGAGAAGTCCCAAGCTATCTTCTACAAGCACCCAGCTGGCTGGGTAGTCGAAGTGAAGATCACCCCTGAGTGGCTTTGTCCTTACCTACCGACTTCAGCTCAGCTAGTCGCGGACATCAAGAAGCTACCCTATATCTCCCTTGCGGATCTTTTCGTCTTCAAGGCCGACGCCTGTGGTCTTCGTGAGTCTGATACGGGCAGACAGAGAGAAGCGCGTGACGCCAGCGCGCTTCTAACGCTCGCTTCAGAACACTTTCCTCTGAAACTAGAAGACGATAAGCTGCAGAAGGTAGAAGAGGCTCTCGACACGCTCGTGGAGTATTCGCCGTCCGAGAACGACAGGAGATGGTGGGAGAGGCGGCTGGGCAAGGAATGCGACAAGCGGCGCTCCGCTCAAGACATCCTCTCAGAGCTCGGCGAAGGGCTGCGTCTCGACGAAGAAGAGAGTCGGCGGGCGACGAGACGGCCGAGCGTCTTCTCCCTCAGCAATAGGGGTTCTGAAACTTCGATCAGCTCTGCCTCGTCCATCTCGTCGCAGACCACTACGCCCCTGTCCTCGCCCACGGCGAAGATGCGACCGAGGAAGATGAGCGTGAGTGGATCATACCCAAGACCGCGGAGACATACGCAGACGGCGATGGACCCCCCACCAGAGGATCAACCTTCATCCCCCGTGCAGCAGAAGAATCGCGATGTACGTCGGCTGCATGCCGAGTCAATGGATACCCGTGGGCGAAGCTCCTCGCCCGGCATAAGTCTCATGACACGACCTTAATTACTTGGATTTCATACTAAAAAGGGAGGGAACATGATACCAGATCAGTTAGTTTCCGAGGTTTAGAGAAAAGTTCATTTTGTGTTTCGTATACCCCCCATAGAATGTAGATTAAATGTAATACCTCCTAAGGTACATGGTAATATACTATCTTCAATGTAACTTCTTCATGACCTTCCGAGCATTGTGCCTTTCCAACAGGTACGAGAGTGCCCAGAGTCCATGATACTCGCTACCTGTTCTAAACATTGGGCGAATAAAATACTCCAGAAAGTTACAGTTCACGCTTATGCACACACTGTATGAACAGCTAAGGAGTCTGCCTGTACTATCAAAGTGCATTTCCACTGCGTCGTCTTGTCTGCGCCCTCCGCAGCAGTATTACAAGCCGCCAAAATCTAAGACAGAAATCCCCGAAATGGCTCCAGCATCTGTGTCCATGGTATCGACGCGAGCAAATGAACCTCGATCTCAACTAACGAGGCCAGCACCAGCACCAGCACAAAGTGTCACTTCCTCTATCGATCGTCCATCTAGGATCGATCCAGTACAGGTACACTTGAATTTCGCTGAGCAGAAAGAAAGGCAAGTGACCACAGGCTCTCGAAATGGAACGTTTATTGCCTACAATAATCCATATCCGCGAGCTCCAGAGTAGTCAGACACTAAGAAACATTGCCAATGTGATTGGTGCTTCAAATATGTACCATATGCACATAAAAAGGAGTGATGGGAAAACGCTTGGAAGTATGTTTCGTCCTGAAGTAGAAGTGAAAAGTATTCAAGAAAATCGCTGACGTATTCAAGAACCCACTTCAAAGCGGATCCCGAGCCATATATTTGCATTTTAGAGGACTGCGTAGAGCAACATAAATACTTCGCATCTGTGCGAAAGTTACAGAAGCACATGGATAGCCGTCATTCTTTAGAATGGACGCAAGAAATTCATAAGCCGTACGTATGGTATTGCGACTCGGATTAACATACCTTTCAACAAATTAGCACCTCCGCCGATCTTAGGAAGCAACTGGTAGAAGACCATAAAGGCGGCTACTGCCCTGAAGAAAAGGGGACGATGTTGGCACGAAGTGTTCTGCTAAGACCTCGAGGACCCATCGAATGTCCTTTGTGTGGGCAAGATGGCACGATCAAAAACTTCAGCAGCGCCCCAAGCTGAAGGCTTCATCAACGTAGCCTCCTGAACGTCTAGACGTAGTTTTGAAACCCAAAGCAGAACAAATGGTCCGCATACTGGGCCCCGAAGACCATGTCAATTTAGACGAGGAGGAGGTTGATTCTGAGATCCAAAGAGCACCAGATACTGGAAGCACTGCTTCAGCAGGGCACCAATATGACGAGCAAGCTCGATATTTGAAACTGACGAATCACATTGCCTTACATCTGGAGTCACTGGCTTTGGTCTCACTTCGTTATTTTGACGACGAGGCTGATTCAGTCAAGAGTGGTGAAGCCGCTCTTGGAGCGGCCCAGGCAAATCCTGCGGACAATTACAAATGCGATCACTATTTTGATCTAGATAATTCATTAGACTTTTAGGATTCGCCCCAAGGAAACGCTGGTAACTAGTATACGGCGGAAGATAAGTCCGATTAAGACTCAGGGTCGGAAAGCTTGACTGATATTGTTCTGGACAAATTTGTCCCCTCCAATTTCGACAACCGCCCTGACAAATTGTTGCCAGGAGGGCTCATAAACGAGCTTACCACCAAGAAACCCTTTCGGCTCGAGCTTGGTATGCATGGTGCCCACGATGTCGATGTTGGGTTGATCACTTGGATCTTGGATGAGGCGAAGGTTTTTATGATTATACTTCTGACCGGGGTTAACATAGAAACGGCTATGAAATCCGTTCACGGATTGCAGTTTAAGGGCGACATGTTACCCATTGAAGATCCCAGCTTTTAAAGCAGCGGGAGTGGCTTAGTCATGAGAACTTTTGATCCTCGTATCTGGAACGAAGTCAGACGTCGAGCTTTTTATGGAGAGAAATAGAGTACGCTAGCTCCCATATTTAAGAGAAACCAAGAGTTCATGAATTTTACCTGCTTCAATCAATCCTACCCTTCAAATGGGTTATTAAAGACATTAGCAAAGGAGGTTTTAGTCAAGTATACAATCCAAGCCTACAAACACAAATAAGAATAATAAAGGGTAAAGGGGTAAAAAGAAACCACCACCCATTAGGGGATTCGAACCCCTGACTTCTCGTTGTCCAGGAATAGGCAGCACCGGAGACGAGCGAGCTAACCACTGCTCTAAATGGGCATCGAGTGTTGCCTCGCCTGAAACGACCTATGTGGCACATGATGAATGGTCATGTGGCTCTTTGATTAAGCCCCTGCCGTATTGCACAAGTTAGCAAGGGACGGCTTCCTGCAACAAAGAAGGCAGTTACGATGTGTGAGATGAGAGACACGCGTGGCGTCTAAGACACGTGCTGTGTTGAACTAGCGCGTGTCAATGCGCGTTGTCACTTGACCGGTGTTGGTAGGTACAGTAACTACGAGAAGGTGCTGGCAATTACTTAGGCCTTGACGGATACCCACCAAAAAAGTAAGTAATAAGTCCTAGGCCATCAAGTAAGAAGTACTACCTACAATAAGAATCCGGGTCAAAGACGTAGGGACACCGATGCACAACGGTAAACATCAGCAACAAAGATTAGGAACGGCCTTCATATATTCCGTTCATCCTGCTAGGCATTCGCCTAACGAATCAAGATCACTTACCTAGTTATCGAGGCTACACGATAAGCGCAATAAGGGACATTCTTACCAGGAACAATTCATACCGTAGCTTTCACGGTGAATTCAATTGAACACGCCGTGTGCAGGGAGAGGTAGCCAGAAAGCTGATGTACTTCAATTATCACCCACGACACTCAGTTAAATAGGGGTTATTGATGCAGCATGAGCTAGGAATTTACCCAATACAGTGGGTTCCGGATACAGTCACTATAGACCCAAGTCATAGATGTAAGGAAGAGAAACTGCTTCATCATGAGAGTATTATTCCTCAAATGGAGGTAGAACGACCAGTAGGAATGGAGCTTTATAGCGTAATATCACCTAGTCTAAATATGGTAGCCTAATGAGCGCCTATAGATAAACTAGTCTGCTAACTATTCTCAGTAGAGAATTATTCCATGGCGCCTGTTTATTTCATTCCTGAAAGATACCAAGCTGCGTGTCATTGACAGCTTGATTTCAAGTTCCACCACGCTAGATGATGTGGTTTTAGAGAAGTCCAGACACTGAAGTATTGTTCTCCTAACGGTATCTCTGCGGATGAGTAATCCTTGGGCCGCTTTTCTAATTGCATCCTAACCCCTGAGTTAGAGAGGCAAACCCTGTAATTAGCTTAGCATAGGCGTCTTCAATAAACTCCTCGTCGATCATTATTCGGAAGCTATCGTGTGTTCGATCCAAGAAATCTGAGGGCCAGACGAAGGCATCTTCATCCTCTATAAGGTCGACAAATTCCCACTTACATAAAGTATCAAACCTCGCGGAATCCATATAGATCCCTTTTAGCTCCATAGTGATTTGTACAACTCTTCTAAACTCTCGTCCCTGCCAGATATCGAGGAGCTCTTGCATTTTCAATCTCATTCTCTAACTCTTCGGTGCATCAATCTCGAGACATCCGGAAGTAATGTCACTGTACCATTTCCAGAGTTCTGTTGCTTAACGGAAACTTGTCGCCCACCATAAGGGCCCCGATTCGAGCAGTGTGTGGTGTCTAGTCACTCCACAGCGGTACTCAGTCGGGGTTCCTTTGAGTACCCGTCGCCATTCAACGAGCAATTCGAGGTCACTTTTGGTCAAAGGGAAAAATTATCTAATGACTTCTGACTCTTCATGCGGTATCTTATGTGGTGATATAGCTGTGCCTGTTAGGAGAACCATTCCGATTTAACAAGGCGTGACAACTTCGAACTAACGCTCGCCTAGACCCACCACGCCTAGTAACCGCTCAAAGACTATGAGGAAACTGCCATAACCACCCAGCTCGAGGAGTCGACAGCCCATCGAGTATCCTGGGTATTGAGATCTAAAGAGGGATTTTAACAATATGTCAAACAGGCTGTGCGACGGCAGTACCCATGCATCGTTATGGCAATAACAGCGCCGCCAGGTAAGGTTCAGAATTCTTTACGTATAGCGGGAGACCTTTCCCATGTGCGAAGGGGAAGTCGGATCTGCCAATGTCGTGTAAATACGAGTCCTCGCAGTACAAGATCAGATAGCATACCATGCACTACCCGACACCTAACGGTTAGTGCACCAGTCGCTCCATGGACTCTGAATTCCTGCCCATAGCTTTCACAAGTTTCGGCGGCTTTGTCTTTTCTGGCCGTGAAATCTAAAGGCTCGATTGTTATAGCCTCGCTGCTATACTTTGATGAGTAATCCACGCATTCTGCTATAAACTGCTGCTTTTTCCTAGACACCTCTTCCAAACTTAACACTCCATCGTAACGAGGCTATGTCCATAACGGGACCCATGATGGCATGTCATATAAAACTCGTGGGTTACGTGTGCATGGTACATCAGCAATATGCTCCCCAAGGCAGTCGTTATAGCCTAAGCCTGCGTAGCTGATGATGCGGAGTAAACTATGGCTTTTTATGAGGTAGGCAGCATTACCAATATGTACTTCACGAAATGTCAGGGAGTAATCAGGCACTACTGCTGTCAGCACTAGTTAGCTCAGCTGTGTATGAACTCATCTGCTGATGCCCATATGTAAACTACGTCACCACACACTATACCTATTTGGTGTAGGAGCCCGGTGACCGGGATTCTCAAAACGCATATATATATGTGGTCAATCTCCCACCGTTTTACGGTAGTATTCTAGATAGTCAATCAGTTAGCGATATATCTTTGACTCTATTCAAAGTCCACATCCGATCCTCTCAGGCAACCAGCTCTGAGAACTGCTCCATCGGGGGCGTCGATCAAACCAAGTAACCCAAAGATCTTATCCCGTCAATCTGAGGCTACGCAATGACATGTGGTAGATAGCAAAGACACGAAGTCGTTGGTCGACATTCTGTTTCCTAGGCCGCCACCCAGGAGATTCATCCACAATGGAATTTTCACCGATTCTAGTATACCGGTAAGGTTCAAAGCAGCTTTCTTGGTCGGCTTCGCAGACATCATCCCGCAATGAAAGGACAATGATCGAGCAAGGAGTAGTATTCCTGGACAACCCAGAGTCGTGAGAAGTATGGCCTGTTGAAAAAAAAAATCATCCAAAGCTTCGGATCTAACAGCGAGGGTCTCTTTTCCAATAACCTTGTTCAGCAAACTGATAGCCTCCGCATTCATAGCTTCTGAAGCATCGTCCTCTTCGCCAACATAAACGCAAACGTTAGCAGCAGATGAAAATATATTGCTCATCATTCCTACTTGATGATTCCGCTCGGTAAGCGACAGTTGGCCAATGCATATAGCATCGATCTATAGGAGGGTATCGAAGTCCTGCTTTCTTAGGTGCCTCAGGGCTCTGAAGCAGCTCAGCGTAATAGGCAGGGGGAGGTGACTTTCTCTAAGAAATACCCGGCGATACAGGCTTTTATCCCCCTTCCTATCGGCCCACGGGTATGAAACCGCTTCGTATTTAGGGTGATCGCGCCAGTCTACAACTTCAAGTTGGCCATGCAGTGGGTATATCGGTCTGCCCTTGGACAGGCGAAGGAGGCGGAATTGCGGACTGCGTTGTGAGACTCGGATATACAAAATGATTGGACTGGGATTTGTGGTAGCCCCAGAACACCTCACAAACCAGGATACTGCAATAGAACTTCGTTCTGCAATGGGGCTGAATTCGTGAGACCTATCTGGATGATGATCAAGAAAGAAGCTAAAGCTAAAAGAGAGTGTGGGCCACGAATCTTATGGGTCTGAAGGGGATCTCCACTTATGGGTCATGTGACTGCCACTACAGTCGGGTTCATGCCAATCCGTCATGACAGCAGTGATAAAGCAGAATAGAAAAAGGTGTATTTACTGCTATATTCTTGGAGCTTGTGCTTGCTCAGAAGGTTGCGTATTCTTCGGTCGAATTCGTTGGAGAGGAGATTCTCGACATTGTTGGAATGAAACCGCGGGGGTAGGGAGGGGGCGTTGTCAGGTGTATATCTGCCAGCACCCTTTAGGGTGGCTGTATCTACAGTTCTGGATATATATAGGTGGCTTGGAGCCCCCATATAGATCTAGGAGGTTCAGGAATCAATTGATCTTACTATTGAGCCCTAACATACACCTTACCTGGCTGTAGCAACCTACCTATTCACTCCGGGACACCCCCCCCTGACAGGCGTAGACACAACGGCACTGCAAAAATGCACTTTCAAGCTCAAATTGTGCATTTGGCGCCCTGCGGTTGGGGTCTTTGTTGTGATGAACTATTGGCGGTGCCAACTGACAATTGTACATGCCACGTGAGATGTATTTGAGAGCCTCGATAATGTTCTCAACATTAGCCTTCCCAGTGAGCTCCCTATTGTGCAATTAACTAATTATCTACACTCATTTCTAGACTATCAGGGCCTATTTAAGACTCTACTCTTCATAGCAACTCTTGTTAGCTCTAGTATTTTGGGTAGAATATTGCTTCTTACCTATTTCTCGTCAGGCATTATGGTCACACGAAGGTTATCGGGACCCTAAAGGGTAATGTATCAGATATTCAACGATGTATCACCCTAGCATAGAACTAGTGTAAAGTGCGGCTAGTTGAGTGCAGGTTGGGAGGAAGGGTTATAGTAGTAGATGTGAGCTATATAGCCTGATAGGTGTTGATGCCTAGGGCAACAACACCCGCAACGGGATGTAAGGCATGGGGCCCGATGCCCTCCAATCTACCGGTAGCTGATGGGAGACTAAGAATAAATAATATTGAACGCTTTCCCCTGTACTATAATGGTGTCCATAGGTTGGCAGCGGGTCTGGTGTTATGCGGTACAACGCTTACACCTTGCGTAGCGAAAATGGCGTGATTTCAACACACGAAATAGGACGAGCTTACTGCCGCCTCTATTGGGCCTGCTGGAGTTAGTCGCTAGGAGATAAGCTTAGTCGGAACTAAGCCCACGGTTGAATAGCGGAATGGCTATAGGGAGTTCTAGGTACTTAGATTGTAACACTTACTATGTTGGTGATCGCTTGTCTTATTTCGTTATCGTGTTATTTCGAGTTCTTATTTTAAGAGAAAGTATAAGAGGAAAGGTGAGAGAGACACACACATACACATA